CAACATATTTCATAGTATTTAAGCAGTGATAAAGGCATTGCATTATATGCATTATAAAGTTTAGGGCTGCAACTAACGATTATCTTGATAATCGATTAGTTGGACGATTATTTTTTCTATTTTTTCGACACACATACTCAGTCTACACCTCATATTTGCACATAATATACAGTACCTGTACATACAAAAACTGTCTATTGTAATATACCTGCACATACAATTGTCAATTTATATATATTTTATTCCTTATTTACTTGTTCTATTTTTTATTTATTTTTATTTTTTATTATCTGTGTTTTTTGTTCTGTCACTGTCATTCTGTTACACTGTGGAAGCTTCTGTCACGAAAACAAATTCCTCGTATGTGTAAACATACCTGGCAATAAAGCTCATTCTGATTCTGATTCTGATTCCTCTTTCATCTCAACCTCCCGAAAAATCCCTTGCCAAAAGATCCTAAATGTCCACACTATCTTTGATAAGCCACTTGCGAGACGAATAATCACCCACTGCACACCGACCCTCATTCTCTGCATTGGTTGTACTTATTCTAAGCAAATATCGTTGCTGGAGTGGATGGTTCTTTGGCCGACCTCATCCTGTGGCTCCTAGCTCACTCGACTAACCTCTCCTAGACCACTAGCGAAGTTCTGTCCAGGGTCGAACGATGTTTTGATGGCTATATCTAACTATCACAGAAATCGCTCATAACGTTAAACCTAGGGCTGCAACTAACTATTATTTTGATAATCGATTAGTTGGTCGATTATCCCCCCCCCATTCTGCCCAATGTCCTTAAAACAAACGTTCCAACTGAATGCTATGAAAACATACAGTGCTTAACAATTTATTAGACCACCTGCCATAATAAAGAGAAAACACATTTTAGGAATTTTAGGAATCTGTCAAAAAATTGTTTAAATCAAAAAAAATTTATTGTCATTTATTTATAACTAAATACTTTTATTTATTCACATAACAAAAATGGCCTCCCTATGCCCTTCATAGCTTGCGTTCTTGCTGGCATTGTTTAAGTACTTTTTGACTGTAATTTGGGTATCTGAAAAACCCCCCCACTATAAATCTCTCTGCCTTTCTTCATAAATAACAGCAATAATTATATTATAGCATTAGAAACAGCCTACTACTGTTACTAAAGAGCTTATGCATATTGGAGGACTAACCCATACAGAAAGCTAAAAAATGATTTTGGTAATCACCAGGGGCCGGTTGCACCAGCTAGACGTAAAAACGCTGGGTGTAAGCCCTACGCTGGGCTTTGCAACGTCCTGCTTTACGATAAATATTTACACCTGTTGCACCAACTGAAACTACGATCAGGCGCAACTACGCCCGGCGTAGACATATTCTCCCTCAGTTATAGATATAGCTGAGACGTCGTTCACGCTGCAATGGCCGCAATGGCTAATATAGAACTGAATTGCTCAAGACATAATATAAGTGAAATCACCGCGCTATAATTTCTATAATTTCACATTTCCTAACAAGTCCGCGTTTTTATATCTGAAGTCTCCCTGCACACTCCCATGACAGATTTCATCAAGGTTAAGTAAAATATAATAAATGTAATACAATGCTTCTCTCTAGAGTTATTTTTTTTATAGCT